ATGTGGTCAGTGGTTTGTGAGAATGTCTGTCTCTGTGTGTTTGGGAACTCTGTGGACTCCAGTGGTTATTTTGAAATCCAGAGGAAGGAGCATGAAAAACCCCTGACAAAGTCTTTGAAAACCTGTTACAAGAAGTCAATGTGGAATGTTCTACCAACACTGGGTCCCAGAAAGGTATAACACATGACTGCCTAGTTTCCAGAAAAGGACATTTGTGTAACCAGGATGCTGCAACCAGCATATCTTGTTGAGTAACAAAACAAGTTATGCCTGCTTCTCCCATGGCAGCACTTTCCAGGGGGCATTAAACCGAGGCACTGACTAGAAAAGCCTGAGGTCAAGAAGGGCAGAGCTCCTAACCCTGGCTCTGAGCCTTGCTATCTTAATCAGGAGCCTTTACAGTTTGCAGGATCAGTTCAAGGTTGCCACTGGCAGGAAACTCAGGTTTGCGTTCAAACTTGTAGTTTGAATACAATGCTATTGATTATATTGAGCCCGGGCTTGGACTGTTGGAGAAAATAAGACATAACTGCCATTTGGTTTTCCTTGTACCAAAGTTTGTATTACATTTATTTATGTGTGTATTGGGGGAGGGGCACATGCCATGGAGAATGTGTGGAGGTCAGAGGGTGATGTTCAAAAGTCTGTTCCCACTTTCCACCATAGTCACCGGGATAGGACTCAAGTCGACAGGTTTGATGGCAGCTCCTTTACCTGCTGAACTGTCCCACGGGTTGTCTTTTCAGAAGAGTTCTTAGACCCCAAAGCTAACACCATAAGGAACCAGAGGCTTCTCGGCCTGGTAACACCATTGGCCATGTCTTCCAGATTGCAGTGGAGAATCTCGGGCATCTCTTCAGACACAGAGAGGAAAGAAACCTTTGAGAGCATCTTTTTGTCAACTGGGAAGATGTCGGTCTAGTGGCGTTCACACACCTTCTGAGGGCTGAAGGTTGTGATGGAAATAAATCTGAGAACCACTTGTCAACCTGGGGACACTGTCTACAACCTGTCCAGCTCCAGGCAGCCTGTGTTTCATGACTTATGGAGTCTTTACAGACCTTCAGAGAACTCAGCCATAGGGTATTGAAATCTACTTGCAGTTTTAAGATTGCACTCGCTAGAAAGTTCCTAGTTTTAACTTGTTCCTAGTTCTTCTTCTTAGCTGCTTCCTGGGGTCCTGAGTATGTACAGCCAGTTCTCAGTTTACCATAACTCAACAAACGTTGTTGGTTTCTTGGAATACTAAATGCATTCTTTGTACTCAGGTCATTTCAAAGCCAGCCTTGGCTACATAGTGAATTTGAGGTCCACCTAGACTACATGAGACCCTGTCTTTAAAAAAAAAAAAACAGTAAGCCAGGCTTGATGGCATACCCCTCTAAGCACTCAGGAGGCAGAGGCAGGCAGATCTCTGTGAGTTCCAGCCAGCCAGAGATCACAAAATATAAAAGTTTATAGGAGTTTATTGCAATTTAACTCTATTGTGAATTAAGCTAAACTCAGATAGAAACCATTGTGGCCGGGGGTGGGGTGGGGGGAGGTAAGGGGGGGGTTGCTGGGATGTCATTAGGAAACTCTCGTGATAGACAACCAGTCATCTTGCCCTGCTATTCAGGCCTAAGAATCTAGCCATAGCAGCAGTTTGTAAGACATTGCTTCCTTGCTGTGGCACACAGGAGGAGAGGAAAGGAAACTCGTATTTGTGCTCTTTGCTAAGCACTTCGCAGATATTTTCTTTTAGCATTTGAAGAGGCCATTAGGTCATTAGAGAGGAAACTGAGGTTTGGGGAAGGGAAGCTCTTCAGCTGCCCGCCCTGAGCTCTGCATGTCTGAACCACACTAAAGTGCGTGCTTGTCCGGTACTTCAGCCTCCTGGGAGTCTGTGAAGCACGGATGGTGTAAGTGGTCAGAAGGCACACACCTAATAAGGACTGGACACTGGGAGGGATCCCCACCTGCTTCAGAATACCCCCCACCCACACACCCATCTGCCACTGAACAGGTACCTCCCTATAAACCTCAAGTGAGATGCTCATGAATTCCATACAGGGTTAGGACTGTCCAAATCTCTGCTAGATTTGCCTCTGACTGCTCAGAAATACCTATGGAAGCAGGAGGATCACCCACCAAAGTTCTGGGCCAGCCTGGGCTACAGAATAAAATCTTGTCTCAGAAAATAAGGGCTCAGAAGATAGCTCCGCCAGTAAAGGCACCTGCCATCAAGGCTGATGACCTGCCAGGAGGCTGAAGTACCGGACAATCAATCCCTGGGAACCACATGGTAGAAGGAGAAACCCACTTCCACAAGTTGTTCTCTGACCTCTACTTGTGTGCTCTATGTGCAAGCCCCCACACATACTAGTGAACAGATAAATATAATAAAATGTAAAAACAAAGCAAACCAACCAGACAGAAACCTATGCAAGTAGGGTCTGTGTTGTGTTTGTTCAGATGCCTTCCTTTAGGATTAACCCCTTCCATGCCATCAGATTAGTCAAAGGCAAAGACCACAACTTTGTGAGCCTAGCATTTGCATAGGGTGAGAACTGCATTTCTCTTTCATTTTCTGAAGCTTTTGACTCAAAGCACTTTCCAGTTGCTGTCCAGACTTAAAAAGTGAAAGATACTTCAAGTGTACCCAGTTAACTTGGCTCCTGCACCTTCTGTGGCTTTCAAGGGTCCTGTAATAGTTTCTGCTTACTCACATAAAAAGTTCCGTCTTCAGGCATCTCTCCCTTCTGAAGTTCCTTCCGCTCCTTTCTCTTTAGGGCACAGGTTGCTCTACCTCCTGGCTAGCCTATTTTTTCCGAGTAGACGACAACACAGGCAGCATCTTGCTAAGTAACTGGCCATTTCCAGCTTTGAGCAAATACAACCCGTGGCATTGTTGGGGCTGGGCAGATAGCTCGGTGTGGCTAAGAGCACAGGTTTGATTCTCAACACCCTCACTGGCCTCCAAGGGCACCAAACGTACGTGTGCTACACTGATATACATGCAGATAAAACACCTGCACACATTAAAAAAGAAACATAACCAAAAAATAACACTGTGGCATTGTTAATTAACATTGTTTACATTTCCAAGCCCTCCAACGCACCCTGGCCATTACTCTGCCTTGGCAGGGAGGTGGCCTCCTGGCCATCCTGACTCTCACGTATCTGGCAGTCTAGGGAGTAAAGAGTGCTCAGACCTGGGAAATGTGGAAACAAAATATTTAAACAGACACAAAGGATGGGGGAGGGGCTTGTAACCGACAAAAGAGCCTGAAACAGTTTTGATAGTTTAGATGTAACTACCCAGCAAAGGAAGTAGGAGGTCCTGAGGTTTGAGGCAAGGTTCTCAGCTCCACCCCTCCTTCCTTTTTCTTTCTTTCCTTTTACTTTTTAAACAAATTATTATTATTTTGTGTTTGTTTTGTTTTTGAGACAGAGTCTCACTATTGTAGTCCTTGGCCTGGAACTCACTATGTAACCCAGGCCTTTAACTCATAGAAAAGATCCAGCTGTCTCTGCCTCACACCACACTCTTTTTATTTTTATTTTTATTTTAGTCAAGGTTTCACTTGGATGTCCAGGTTAGCCTGCTTGGTACTTACTATGTGGCTCAGGTTGGCCTCTTCCTGTCCCTTCTCAGGAGTGCTGAGACTACAAGTATAGGCCACCACACACTGGGCTGAGATTCACCCTTCAAGAAGAATTAACTCCTTGAAGGAAGATGAACAGGTCAAAGAGAGCAGGAAGTGGAGAAACCATTTAGAAGAGGGACCTGTGGGGCTGGAGAGATGGCTCAGTGGTTGGAGCACCAACTGCTCTGCCAGAGGGCCTGGGTTCAATTCCCAGCACCCACATGGCAGCTAACAACTGTCTGTAACTCCAAGATCTGACCCCCACCCCAGACATATATTTAGGTAAAACACCAATGTACATAAAATAAGAATAAATAAATTATTTAGAAGAAAAGAAGAAGAAGAGGAGGAGGAGGAGGAGGAGGGACCTGTTCCTGAAGCCATGGCTCTGGAGGAAAGGTCTCAGCAGTAGCATTCAGAGAAAGAAAAGTCGTGGAAACAGTTGGAAGCCCCCAGATTTCTCACAGCTTGTGAGCAATGACATTCTGTGGAGCTTTGGAAGGGTTAATGAGATGGTCTCCATTCTGTACAAGCCACCCACTGGCCAGTTTACCTCCTTGGTTCACACCACTAGGGCGGGACTGGCAGATACTGCCTCCCTTTGACAGCTGGGGCTCTCCTGCTAGAGGTGAAATCCGTCCAAGACCAATGAGCTCGGAGGCTGGATTTGAACCCTCCAAGTTCTCAGGGGGCTCTAGAGAGTCCGCTGTCCTTCCGCGGAGTAACAGGACTTCACTGCTGAGATTCCTGGACGAACAATTAGGAAAGGGCTTGTTCCACAGATTATAATTCTTTGAGCGCTGATCCCCGAGTTCCTTCTCTGGTTTCTCGGATCTGCTTGGTCTCTATTTGCCTCACGGTCCCTGTGTACACAGTGCAGGACGTCACGGTTCCAGGCCCTACTTGCACGCACGCTGACAGGCTCCTTGGGCTTCCGCAGTAGCTGGATGGTAGGAGAAGCCGCTCCGGGAGCCTCTAAAGTGGGCGTCGGTGGCCGCCGGGCGAAAGTTCTGAAATGCAAAGCTGTGCTGGGAGCGGTGGGTGGAGGGCAGACCGAGATGGAGCGTCGTGATCACGAGCCGGCCAGTCTGCAGGCAGTGAGCGCAGGTCCCGACAGCGTAGGGCGCGCTGGCTGCCGAAAACCGACGACTTGGAGAAGTACCGAGGGGCTCGCGTCCTTCCGGACCCCCAGGCAACCCGGCCAAAGGGAGCCTGGGGGCGGGACGGTACGCGCGAGCTGTCAGCCCGGCCCCGCCCCGCCCCGCCTTTCGTCCCGCCCCACCCCGCCCCTCGGCTCCGGTGCGGGGCGGGCGCGCTGCGGCGGTCGCTGCTGCTTCCTCGGGCCATTTTGCTCCGCGCGGAGAGACGAGAGGTGGAGAGCCAGGGCTAGAGGAGGCGCGGGCCGGAGGAAACGGCGGGCGGCGGGCTTTCCGCATTCACAGTGTCCGCAGGGCCTCAGCGATCGCCGGCGAAGGGGGTAGGGGGCCCCTTCCCGGTCCCTGCACCATGAGCTGGGGCACCGAGCTTTGGGTGAGTGAGGGGCCGGGCCGCGGGCGGGCCTGGGCGGGAGGCGAGGCGAGGGGCCTCGGCGCGCGTCGTCGCCCAGCGAGGAGGGAACGCGGATCGGGTGGCCCCGGCGGCCTTGGGGTGGCGCAGGGCTCGGTCCCGGCTCCCGGAGCGGCGACCTGCGGGCAATCCCCGGGGGCGTGGGGCTCGCGCCGTGCCGGGCTGCGTAATTGCGCGCGCCCCTGGCCAGAGCTCTGGGGCAGATCTGTGCTTTGGGGTGCGGGCGGATCCCGCGCTGCTCCCGGGGGCGGGGCGGCCTGGCAGGCTCCCGGTTTCGGGTCTTGGGTTTGGGGGTGCCGCGAGCGAGGGATGAGGTCTTCTCTCTGGAAGTGAGGACTTTAGACCCGGAGCGTTGGGGCACACTTGTAATTCTTTAGGGACAGCTCAGATTCTGAATTTGAGGGGGGCTGCGGCGTTTGGTCCGCAGGAGGACAGCGGTAGGGGAGATCATAGGATACCATGAAGGGCCGGTTGCCGGGAACCTGTTTCTGTCCTGCTACCCAGAGGAAACGGTTTTAAGAGGGGTTGGCCTCGCAGGATCCTTCGTTTTGGGGTGCAGGTGGGTTAGAGAGCAGCTTGGCGTCTGGAAACGGTCCCACCGAGGGCGGTCAGAGGACGCCAGGGCAGCCCTCAGGCCATCTCTGGGGAAGGGAGGCTGTTGACCGAGGGACAGGGCCTGTTGCCCTGCCTTCCTCTGGACTCCAGCACCTGGAAAGGCTAGGCACAGGCTGGCAGTGCAGGGGCCTGGGTGAAGGTGGGGACGAAACCGCGGTTATTGCGCCCAAATGTGCCCATGACCAGCCATTCTCAGTGATGGATTCCAAAGTGCCCGCTGACTACCTTTCTGAATTCCATTTCTGAATTCCATGAAGGGTGTGGAGGAGAAAGTGTGGGATGGTGTTGCCCTCCAAGATGAGGCCAAGAAATGTCGTGTCAAAATAAAACAAGGTTAGGGCAATTAGAGAAACGCAGGGCATCTTCCTTAATTTTTTTCTTTTGCTTTAATTGTTTTTTTACATAACCATTTCTTAGACTAAAGTATTCTGTTAATACTAGAATCCTTGGAGTACTGGCCCTTAAATCAGGAGAACTCATTCTATAAACATCCTCTGTCAAAAGAATTTCCATTCATTCAGCTGTCAAAATGTCCGGTGACGAGTGCAAAATACCCACTTTGAAAAAATTAAATTAGCACATATTTTGAAGTACTCGTACAAACCTAGGTTAGGCAAAACTTCCCTCAGTTTTGTTTTGGGGTTTTGTTGTTTGTTTGGTTTGGTTTTGGTTTTTTTGTTGTTGTTGTTTTTCTGTTTTGTTTTTGTTGTCGGGGTGGGGGCACATCAGAAGTCATGATCAAGCAGCAGAACTGAAGTCTGGGCATGTGTTCCCCCTCAACTTATTGAAACAGTGGAATGGTTCCTGAGTGACTGAGAGAGAAGACATTTCATAGTTATGTTGGAGAATGTTCTAGCAGGGTGATCTAGAGGGCAGGTGGCTGGAGGAAGAAGCATGACTGAGCTTCCTGCCTATCTTTTGAGAATGGAAGACAGGAAGTCAAAGACAAGAGCAGCCCTGGCAGCTCACCCCTGTAATCCCAAGGTTGGAGAGGCTGAGGCAGGAGGATTGTTGTGAGTTTGCATCCAGCCTGGAGTACACAGTGAGTCCCAGATCAGCTGGGACTACATGGCAAGCCCCTGTCTGAAAAAGCAAAGCAAAGACCTGCTGAGATGTGACTCTGTGGTAAAATACTTGCCTGGCATGCATGAGGTTCTGGGGTCAAACCCAGTACCAGAGGTGGAGACAAAAAAGAGAACACTTGAGAAATATTGTTAATAGAAGAAATATGAAATATTTGGATTTATTTTACTTGGTAAACTTATATGTTTACTTATGGCCAATAACAAATTGGACAGTCATATTATATACGAAGTATATGGCAATGAAAAAAAGGTGGTTTTGTTTTTTGTTTTGTTTTTAAAGCATGCTGAGTGCAGGCTTTTGCCTTTGGATAGCTTATAGTTTAATGGAGGGAATGGGTTAGCATGTTAGGACACTATCATGAAAAATCGGTGCAAAATCTGTGTTTTAAGGCCAACATGTCAGCTATCAGTTATCTTAGCTTTTTTTTTAAGCAGTTTTTTTTATTTGTTTATTTATTTTATGTATATGAGTGCGCTATCTGCATGGACGATTTTATGCCAGAAGAGGTCATCTGATCCCACTATAGATGGCTGTGCGCCACCATGTGGTTTTTGGGAATTGAACTCAGGACCTCTGGAAGAGCAGTCAGTGCTCTTAACGGCTGAGCCATTTCTCCAACCCCCTAATTTTTATTATTATTTTTTTTTAGCAGTTTTCAAGGAAAAAAGAGAAAGAAAGAAAGAAAGAAAGAAAGAAAGAAAGAAAGAAAGAAAGAAAGAAAAGAAAGCCCAGAGGAAGGAAGGGAACTGGGGCTGAAGAAGCCGTCTGTGTGTCTAGTGGTCAGCAGCTTGGCGATGTACAGTGCGCCTGGCAGCCAGGCTGAGGCCCTGATTAAGGGCTTTCCTTACATGGTGGCTTTGGGACCTGGCTCATGTGTAATGAGATAATGATGGGGTGCTAAAGCCTCACTGGGCAGAATGATGCTTCTAGATGGAGTAGCACATTTTGGGTGGCATGAGGGATTGGTGGCAGGTGGCTGCAGCTCTCATGGACTTTCACTGATCTTAAGATTCTGTATAGTCTTGAGACTTTAGTAAAAATCCTCCAGGGCCCTAAAAAGCTTCTGGCTTCGAACACTCATTCTACATGAAAAGCCCACGCTTAAGCCACATCCTGCTTTGTTAAGGAGTGAAACACTTCTAAAAACTGTTTATGGCAGAAAGCATTCACAGTCTAGGTGAGCTTTGAAAAATTATAGTTTATAACTTAGTTAGATTCATGTATGTGTATGTTAGTCCTTGTATTTTTGTATCAAAGGAGTGTAATAAAGCCAGGCCTGCTGGTTCAGGTCTGTAATCCCAGCTAGTGGGAGGCTGAGACAGGAGGATTGAAAGTTCAAGGCCTGCCTGTGCAACTTTAAGTGGGAATCTATGTCAATAATTTCAGAGCACAGAAAGGGGTGGAGACATGGCTCAGTGGGAGAGGGCTTGCAGAGCAAACATGAAGCCCTGAGTTCTGCCCCTGGTGCTGGCGTGGGGAGAGGACAAGACAGAGTACATAAGGCAGTCTTAAATGTTAGTTACTTACTTTAGTTTTGGTTTTTGTTTTGTTTTGTTTGAGATAGGGTCTAACTGGGTAGCCCTTGCTGGCGTGGAGCTCACTGTGTAGATAAACTGGCCTCAAACTAACAGAGATCCTCCTGTCTCTGCCTCCTTAAATGGCAGGTTTGGTTTGATTTGCTTTGGGGGAATTTTCAAGACAGGGTTTCTCTGTGTAGCCCTGGCTGTCCAGGAACTTACATTGTAGACTAGGTTGGCCTTGAACTCACAGAGACCTGCCTGGCACTCTCTGCCTCCTGAGCGCTTGGATTAAAGGTGTGCACCACCACCGCCCAGCCAGGGTATTTTTACGTGGATACCGGCGGTCATGATCTTCATGGTAACATGGTGAGCCATCTTCCCAGCCCCAGCTTGTTGACATTGTGGTCACTGGTGAAGTGACAAGAACTCGTCACGTCAGGGTCATTAGGGTGACTTTTCCTTATTATTCCTAATTATTGGAAGGCAATGACAGGTTACTAAGCCATCAGCTCACCTATTTTTTTTTTAAGCTTTCTCGTTAGTATGAAATATATGAAAAAAATTGGAAAATTTAGCTTTCATCTTTACTCCAAGTTTGCAGCTGACTCAGTGACAGGACCAGGTTTTGCCCTCTCCTAGTATCCTGTCTGCCCTCTTTAATCTTTGCTCAGGATGCTCATGAGGAATGAATTAGCCAGGTATAAATAAAGGAAAATGGAGAAACCTGAAAAGCACATGCTGGTTAGCATCCTAAGAAGCCACCTTCAGAGATTATGTGTATTTTTTCTAGCTATGTTTTTAAGATAGAGTCCAGCATATCACGTATATGGATGCTGCCACCAATGTTGATGGTGGCGTATGCTTTTTAAGAGGCAGCAGTGTGAGCTGAGCATGGTTGCTCAGGACTTTTCCATTAATCCCAGCACTCAGGAGGCAGAGGCAGGGGGATCTCTGAGTTCCAGGCCAGCCAGAGCTACATAGTGAGACCCTGTCTCAGAAATGAGGTATCAATGTATGGTGTACTTCAAAACACTTCCAGGGCAACTCAGTGAAATTCCTGTCTCTAAATAAACAGTACAAGAGGCTACAGATTTGGTTCAGAGGTAGAGAGCTTGTGCAGTGTGCACTAGGCCCTGGGCTCCATCTACTATTCTAGGAACAAGGCCTGGCTTGATGTAGGAGCTTAATAAATATTTATTAAATGAATGGGTGAATCCCTTCCCCCACTTTTGGTTTAAAATTTGATTCTTAAAACTCAGGTCAACCTAATCACAATACTTTCCTGCATTTTGGCATATATTTGACATATATTATATATAAAACTATGTGTAACATGCATATGTGTTATTATATTGTATGTATATATGTGTGTGTATACATATATATTCCTGGACACCTTAAAAAATAGGTTAACTTTTTTAGAACAGTTTGAGATTCCCAGTAGAAGTGAGCAGGTAATGCAGAGATTGTCACCTCCTCTGTGCCCTTTGAACACACTCCTAAATGAAGAGTCTGGCCACTTTGTCACTTTCGTTCCCCACACATGCTTTGGCACATGCTTCCACTCATACCACACACACAAACACACATGCACACAAATATAAAAATTGTTTTTGAAAAGCAGCTTCTTCCCTGTGGGTCATAGCACTCATGCCTGAAAGCTGAGTTATATTAGGACACTTTATAATGTGTCAAGGTGTTAAACTAGATGATACCGATTCTTTTTCAACCGGAAGTACTGAG